ATAGGAAATACGGTTTGCATATATATTTTCGCTGTAATCCGACGAAAAAACGTCGTACGCCGGCCGCGGACGGGAATTAACGGATGTTGAAATGAAATTTCACAATATCATCGCCGCCATATTATAACAATAATTTTATCGTTATTGTCGTTTTACAACACTACAGGCCATAGCCATATCCTCCGTCGATGATATTATTATAATTAACTTCGTCCAGGAAAAATTAACAATAATAATTATGAAATACGTTTATATAAGTTTATTTTGGCTTTGATGTACCTCTGCGGTTCACGGACATGTGGATGGTGTCAGTGTGTCACCTCGCATCTGTCCGAGGTAGCGAGGTGATGGGCAATCTGACTTCGGTCAAATGGATACAACACTTGGTGCATTTACCAGGTTAAGTTTAATAACTTTGTGACTTCATCAGCTAATAGATTAAAGTGTACTATTCAGTCTACGAAAATGAACAATAATAAAATACGGCACTTACTATCATGTTGTTACTTGTTAGTACAGACGTACATATAGTAATAAGTAGTATAGTTTAATAATAAAATATAAGTATAAAAATATTTTATTTTTTCTTAAGTTTGTTCAGCGCCACCAATTAAAAGTGGTTTTAAAGTTTAAACCACTCATACTATCTGAATTGGATAGACTTAATATATTTTCTATCACGGTTCAAACTACTCTCTAAACTTTCCTAAAATCTTTAAGAACAATCTCTGAAACTTAGTCCAAATCAATCGAATAATTGTTGAGTTTATAAGCTATAAATATTAGAATATTACTTTTTATTGTTAATTTGAATATAAATAATAAATTATATATTATTAATTTCGTTGAAAAAATCCCATAAAAATACATGGCGGGTCGAAAAAATGTTTTTGTTTTTAATTGTATTTCTATAACCTATGGCAACACTGAATCTTATATAAACAATAAATTGTTCAATTTTTGTGCATAAGCCAAAACGAAATTCATGTGTAAGCAGTGCGGGTAATCTATTGAACTATAGTAGTTGAAAAAAAAGCTTAGACATCCTCAAATTTTCAAGAAATCTTTTGACATAGCTCTTATTAAAATTTGTCCAGTCATTTCTGAGATTATATAGTCATTATTGAAAAAACTCATTCCACATTAATTATACATAGATAAATATTTATGTATATTTGTACTATTTACGTAGCGTACGTTTCCAGAACAACGACTCACGTCACGCGCAGTATTCGGAATACTATTGGTGTCACAGATTCACAAAACTCACTCTGGTGGTATAAATCAGAACTACTAAGATTGGGATACATTTTTCCAAAAATATCAATTTAATAGGTAAAATCATATACAAACGCACATAACTTTTTAGTTAGCCATTCCGTGCAATTTCTTGTTTCATTTCCGTGTACAGTGGAAAATTGTACTTAGAATACTATACTATCATACTTTGATAAAATTATAACATTAATCGTGTATAGTTTTAATTTTTACCGCCAATATATTATTAGATATGTTATGTATAAGATATTATATAAATAATTATTAGTACCTAGGTATATTGCGAATTTGTTGAAGTTAATTAATTACTTGTTAGTATACAGTACACATAATGTTACATAATTATTATTTAATACCTAGTTAATTATTTGATTATTTTTTATTATTTATGTTGTGTCGTTTTAAAATGTCTAAACGAAAGAGTAACACTTACTGTTCAGTATATGGTTGTAAAACATTTTATTCGAGTGAAGGTAACATTAGTTTTCATACGTTTCCTAAGGAAAATCAGTCCAAAGTTAAATGGATAAATAAAAATGGAATTGAAGAAATGATCGATCGGCGTAAAGCATGGGTTATGAGACTGCGAATGGATACAAAAAATATGACAAAAACACAGTTAAAAGTCTGTTCTAAACATTTTAACAAAGAGGATTTTATATTACCAGGTAAACAAGAATTAAAATTCATTGTAGTTGCAAAATGTCTGTATATAACGTTTTATCTGTATTTCAGACTATAAATTAAAAAATGCCTCTTTAAAAAAAACAGCAGTGCCATCACAAAATTTGCCAACATCATCAATTAAACTTCAGTCCCCCAAAAAAAGAGAACGTTCATTAGTATTGACTAGAAATAATATACCTGAAAACATTGTAAGTAGTAAAAAGTTTGTACGTTTTTTGTAGGTACCAATATATACCAATATCTGTATAAGGTTATTTATTTAAAATTACATTATTTTATTAAAATTCAAAGTGATACTAGACCACTGTGAGATGTAACACTTATATATATATATTTTTTTGTGTAAAGGTTATTCAGAAAACAGACTCAAAAGTTTCTCATTCATGTAGACATTGGTCTGATGAAATGATGAACATAGATAATTTTGAATCTGATAATAATACAATGCAAACAGAGGAAACAAGACATACCAGTTCAGATAGTGCTGATCTAACTATGACATTACAAATGGTTGATGCTGGTGTTCAAGTCACCACTGGAGATATTTTTATTCCTTTTATTTCATTGGTGAACACACCTCAAAAGTTAAATACAATGACTGGAATCCCCTCTTTTGAGATACTAGATAAAATAGTAGAGTTGTTTATAAAATATTATCCATACACAAAATGTTATCGTTTGAGTGTAAAAGAACGAATTTTATTAGTTTTTATTAAGTTTAAACAAGAATTGTCATTTATTGTTCTGAGCATTCTTTTTAAATCTGTAACAGCAGAAACTTGTAGAGCATTATATAATTCTACTATCCCTCTGTTAGCACATATTTTTAAAGCTCTAATTTACTGGCCTACAAAACAAGAAATATTGGCTAATATGCCTGTGTGTTTCAACAATTTTTTAGATACAACAGTTGTTTTAGACTGTACAGAGATTTCTGTGCAAGTACCAAAATGTTTAGCTTGTCGTATAAGATTGTATAGCAATTATAAATCTACATTTACATTGAAATTTATGATTGGCATAACTCCTGGAGGATTAATATCTTTTGTAAGTGAACCATATGGTGGCAGAAGTTCAGATAAAGTTATATTTGAACAGAGTGGTTTAATTAACAAAATGTCATATCCTGATGCCATAATGGTCGATAAGGGATTTTTAATAGATGGCATATGTAATATTAATAATATAAAACTTATAAGACCCCCATTTTTAAAAAACAAACATCAATTTTCCAAAGAAGAGGCATTGTTAACAAAAGATATAGCTAGAGCAAGAGTCCATATTGAAAGAATTAACCAAAGAATAAAAGCATTCAAAATTTTTCATAATAAATTCCCATGGACTCATGCTCACTTAGTTTCAGACATTATGACCATAGTATCTGGAATATGTAACCTTTGTGTACCTATTTTTGCAAATGATAAGTTTATTAGTTGAATTTTAAAATATGTAAAAGTATATTTACTGAATTAAAAACCCAACCACAAAAATATAGGTAAAAGCAAATATTTTACAATAAAATTTTAAAATCTTTAAAATTGTTTAATTAAATCAGTGTATATGTTCTTATTTGTTTTTCTTCTTTATTTTTACATTTTATAATACAATACATTCTTATACTTGTAACTATGATCTAAAATAATAAAAATTCATTTTTATTTTTTAAACTTACAAATGACATGTAACATTTTTGAAAAGTACACATATTTCAATTTTTCAAGTAAAACTGTAGCATAATTTTCATCCAACGGTACTTCTATTATAGCATAATTATGATCAAAACTGCTATAAATTACAAAATCACATTTATTGATATTTAGCATAACCATTCCAAGCTGTACCTGATTATAGTATGCATGTTTAGTTTTTAAATAATATGCACCATCAGTAGTTTGTTTAATGTATGTAAGATTAGACATAAGTTCATTTATATTATGTGTTTTACCTTTATATGGGCATTTTATTTCAATTAACTTACTAGGATAATTACAGTCATCAACAAGTACTCCATCAGGAGAGTATCCTAACCATTTTTCTGTTGCACTTGTAATAAACCCACTTTTATAAACTTTTGAACTACTATTTTTTGAATATAAATCTCTCGCTACATTTTCAAATTCAATTCCATGATTAGTGAACTTTGATGAAAAATTTTTTGGCCAAAAGTAATTACTAATTTTGGACTCCCACTGATCATCAGATTTTGGTTTTTGACTGTAAGTGAAAATAGAATAACATCTGCTGCCTGTAATTTTAAATTGCCTTGTACTTGACCAATATAGTTGATTTGTTAAGGATTTTTCTCTGATATACTCTACGTCTGCTGACATTTCTGAATATGTTTTCTCACAACACTTTTTTAATGGTAATGTTATACTAGAAAGATTTTTTAAAAGTAAATTTTCTTCTTTTAGAAAAAAATAGGAAGTATCATTGACAACTGTTTCAGTATTAACTTCTATCAATCTTCGTCCTTCTTTATGCAGGGTCAGAGCTGACTTTGGTGTTACAGATGTAAAACATGATCTATAATAAATGCAATAATTAGGTATGTTAACATCTACCTAATATTTCAGAGAAAAATATATACATATATTATATGTTCTGGCCCCACCTTATATTTTCTTCGTCAATAGGTACTAAGTTTCTTTCAACATTCTTAAAGCAACAAAACTCTTTTATTGGAATTGGCTTATAACTTGCAAGAGATGGCTCTTTAAGTTTAGTCCATTGACATGTAATGTCTGTTTTAGATAAACTTTCAATTTCATTTATAGTAGTTCTTCAATAATCATATTATACAATACAATAAAATTTTATTTATAGAACATTTAATATAATATTTAACTACAAGTTTATAAAATAAGAAACAAGTAATAATATGATAAATACTATAATTTTATTGTGATCATATAAACCAAAAAAAAATAAAAAAATTTTAGGTATGTTAAATACCTACATAGCCCATAGGAATGTAACTTTATAAGTTTTTAGTGTATAAAAATAAGTAATAATAAATAGTATTCCTCATACTATAAGTTTGTTATGGACTACAAAATACAAACTATAGGTAAGTAATCTAAATTACTTTTGTAGGTACCTACCTATTCAGATGTAGTAATACTGCAACAATATGCTTACAACTTTCAGATGCTCCAGCTTTACAAGTACAAACAAACTGTATAATATGTAGCTTATTATTCTCATAATGTAACTTTCCAGTTATTTCATGAGGCATATCTCGAATATGTGAGGATTGTATTATTAAACTCTTAATTGAAATTATACCATCATCCTGAGGATTTAAATTTTAAGAAATTATATTATAACTAAGGAGTTAAAAAGTAAATCTACTTTGAATAAAATGTTTTGTAGAATAATTCACTAAAACTTTGAAACTTTAAAATGTCATATATTTTTGACCTATTGTTGTATATATTTTACTTTAAATTATTCATTTTTCTATTCTACCTTTTCAATTTTTCCACACAGAATAACATGTTTGGCAAGCAATACTTGTTCGCCTTCTACAAAGTTTCTAGTATCTGGAGTGCAATGAGCATATTTAAAAACATCAGAAAGACTCAAGACACTCATTACTTGTAATTTTTATAAAACAATTAATTATACATAAACAAATAATTAAATTTATAAATAAGCAGACAATTTTCAGAATAATAATAGTTATGTTCCTAAATCCTAACATTAAACATTGATTTATGTTTTAAATTAGGTATTATCATTGCTATATTATTATCAAAATAAATATCAATGAATGAGTACAATAATATATGATGTATAATTATTAATAACAATATAGATAATAAGTATAATTATTATTAAATAAAAACATTTTATTTTATTTTAATCCTACATGATCATGGTCTTCACTCTTCTGTATAACATTATCCCAAAAAGAGCGACCATATTTAAAACTACATCAGCGCTCTCTGTTATCAATCTGCGATGCCAATAAACGCACATAATATGTATTGTTATCACTAATCTCATAAACATGTACGCATAATATATGTGTCATTACGAATAAAAATATAATAGTTTTATAATAAAAACTCACTCCAAGCGCGTATACACGAGTATAATAACTTATAAAGTATATACATATTGAAACTTCAACGCGCGCGCATGCGCCGTAGCCGTCTCATGCAGTATTATAATTTATAATATTGTTAAACATGAATACATGAAGATATACGCGGCGTGAAGCAGCTCCGATTTAAACAATAGGTATAGTACCGCCGGCTGCGTTGTCCTTGAACGGCCAGAGGTTGGATTAAAGACAAATCTGGTTGACGACGTACTAAAAAAATTTATGAAAACAACGCAACGAAAAATCACATATAAATTCACATACATATGAAGTGGCGGCGGCGGTATATATCACGGATTCGCAGCATAGACCACGCGGGAGGAGAGGACAACGGCCGAAAAAAAGAGCTTTTGTTTGTTTGACACCGTAGTAGGCTGCTACACAGCTGGCCGCCGGCAATATATACGTGATCGACCTTCATGCCAATTTCGTTTTTAATTTTAATTTTTTTTACACTCGTTTTGTTGTAATATTATTTTTTTACACGAGCCGCACGCACGCAACTTCACTACATATTTGGCAAATGATGACTATGACAAAAAATAAACAAATAAAAGTTAAAATACTCAACGGCAAGCCTCGTATTGTTTTCAAGGATTTTTACGATAAAAATAGGTACAATACCTCAATTTTATAATTCAAGTCAACAGAGTAATACGATATTATCACTAACTTGATTTATATAGATATGTGTTATAATATATAACTATTTTATACGAATATCGATTTAATATAGGTACATATATAAGTGTATATATAATATATGTTATGTATAACCCTCAATAAGAGAGGTCTAATAATCGATGTGGGTTTTTATAAAATCTAGGAAATATAATATGCGTAAACAATAAATAATAAATACGCAAATTTGCTTAGAAAACACAAACGTTTATTATTTGTACTATTACTCACATACTGATAGGTACAATATAGATAAAACGTACGGATGTATGATTTTCAATAGAATTTTAACCATGCGGCTGCTTACGTTATATCACCAAAAACCTTCGATAGAACTATATCAGATTTCTCCAGAAAATGCTGAATGAAAAAAATTATAACCTAGCAACGTATATACATATTGTATCCCATTTCAACGTGTGACGATATTATAACAAAAACAACAAACACAATGCACATTTATTATATTCAAGAGTCTAGACAAGTACCGAATGCGTGTACTATTACATAACTTAATGCATTTAATTGTGAACATTAAATGAATCCACGACACATAAAGGAAAACCGTCTTGAAAGCAAAATATTTCATTCATATACGTGTTTTATACTTATCGGGGGGTGCTGTATTGCTGTGGCATTCTGGGTTCGTGTAGATGTGCAATGTGTGCGTAAACCACAGTAACCTATGTACGTATATTGTTATAATTACTTCAACCGGAATGTATAATAATATCAAATTATAAACCCCACTGGGACTATAACTGGCCCTAAGCATAGGTTTAATGTACTGGAAAGTAAACCGGTTTCTACCCCGAATATTTATTATATACGAACCCCCTCGGTAACAAAAGCGCCAGACGTTCGATCGACTGGGAACACCTTTTGTCTCGTATAACACTTTTCTGCGTCTCCCGAAAGTAGGTTTACAGCCTTACAGGTGTGTATTTTTTTTCAAAACAAAAAAAAACTAAATTCTGGTAGACCACCTGTTGTCTGACTATCGCAATATCATCATCGTTATCAACATAATCGTCAATCACCCTCCCACCCATAAGTCATATTATAATTATTATTATTATAAAATATATACTATAAATTAATATACATTGTATTTAAATATTGTATTGCAATTAACAGGAATCGTTTACCAAGCATTTTTGTACGTGTACATAATATTATGTCATATATAGAAATATTAATTACTAATCAATATTGCTTCATAGTAATAACATATTATAATATTATAGTCAATAAAAACTCTACTTGTACGTACATTACATTATCACTGAACAAAAAAAACACACACATAGGTTACAGGTATCAACACATTGATATATTTACGTTGCCCATGCCAATGCGTTACGATGATTAAATTTAAAATTTAAATGTAGTTTATCAGCTGCCACATTGTTAGCAGTAATTTTAACGATTTAAAAACGACAACGTGTGGGTGAAAGCATCACAATCACACATACAAGTGCGCGCGCGATCGGGCATATACCGTAACGGCGAATAGCCCACGATATATACAATGGCAACAGCAATGGAAATTATGTATATATAAGTATATAAAATATATATACGTTTGCATGTCAAATACGATATACATATTGATTATCTAACGAGCAGACTATTCGGTGACGAGTGAACTAGGCAAGGCACGGTAGCCAAAACGGTGGGAAGGCAAATAGATATTATATATATATATATATATATACATCATACATTTGCCAAAAAGGTATTTTATAAAATAATTGTTATCGTGTATTTAGTAAAGAAATTTAAATTAAATGAATAACATAAAAAATTAAGTTATAATCGAGAATTGAGAAATTATGATTTGATGGTAAACTATGCCAACAAATCTTTTATGAATTATTTGGGACCAACCTTCTTCAATTCTATGCTTTTTGAATTTAAAAAGAAAATATATACTTGGAAGGGAAATTATTACTATTAAATGCTTAGTATATAAAAAATTATTTTTATAGTTAGAGAATGATGTGCGCTTTTATTATTCATTAAAATTAAATTTTGTTGTATTACTTATAACTATAACCCTGTTACATTTATTCATCGTTAATATTATTCTTTATGAAATTTTACTTTTTAAGAATATTTTTTCGATTTATTTGATTTGCGATATTTAATATTACTATTTTATTTTATGCTTATATTTCATTAATAATATTATTTAGTATTAGTCATAACTCCCTAGCTACAACACAAGCTGCATAAGCTTACAGGAGGTAGGTTAATCAAATCTTTAACTCATAATAAATATTTAATCTATAATATATGTTTGATTTAAAAAAAAATACATATTATATTGACGTAAAAAACCATATTTTCGTTCTGCGCCTCATGTATTAAACATATTAAGGAGTTTCTCGCGAAACATTTTCATGAAAATCAATTCGTCAACGCAATTCAAATACAAAACGGCATACCCACGCATGACTGTACTTATCACCTACCGAATAACATTAATCAATTATTATCAATAGTAAATACTTTAGATTTATGACAAATTTCCTAACAACGTTTTTAAACGCTTTAATGTATAATTGCTCTTACTGTTGATTACTGATTACAATAATAACATTCGTCAATAATAAACAAGTACATTAAAAACAATATACTTGATATATACGTAAATAGAGTTGCACAGTTTTTAAGAAAACTATACGATATTTATTATATTATAATCAAACAATATTCAAAAATAGCAAATTAAATATTTCAATGAAGAATATTTTTCTTTCGTTTTGCTTTCAACAAATTTATTATTTCTTGATTGAAAATAAATTTTGTTTTTCTACAATTCTGAATTTATTTTTGTATAATAAACAACATTCTCGATGGTTACTATTTTATAAACGATTCTATGATGATCAACGTGACTTATTATGTCATATATATTCTAAGTAGTGAACACGAGGACTTTAATTGCAATGGGAAAAAACTTAAATAGTAAAAAATAAAATCAAGAATAACATCCATGTATAACCTACACAGTTATTTTTTAACATAAAATTAATTAATTTTTACATTTCCATATTCAACTCGAACATGCATGACATGTACAGGTCAATCGATTACATGCGTTACCATTAAGTATAATGATTAATGATAATTCATTACAATGTTTTTAATTTTTATCGACAATCAATAAGAAACATCTATAAGGATATCTTTAAGACAAAATAATTTAAAAAATTTAAAATCCATGTGTTTTATTAAACATATTCGATTTTTTCATATTTCCATCTTTTTATATGGTAAACAACTATAGATTTCAATATAAATTATGACAATTTATCATATAGGTATGATAATATTATGCAGCAATAATCAATACTACAATTAAAATATATAAATTAATAATCACGAGAAAAACTTATCAAAAAAAAAAAATAATAATAATAATAATAATAAATAATAATAATAATAATAATAACAACAGTTAAAATGTTTTGCAAAAATAAAATAAGTAAATGAATATAGGTACTTGATTGTAGCTTAAATTAAAAAAAAATATTTATTTATAATTGGTTAAAATAAGATAATTATACACCTTAAACCCGCCGGATAAGACACAAAGCGATTAAACTATAATAAAACCCAAAGTGAAAATTTACATCAAAAAACACTAAGTAAGACTTCATTTTAAATGAATAACTTAGCATTTATAGGTATAAATAAAAGAAAAAAAATATCAGACTCGTGTTAACAAGCCGACAGCCATATATGACGCCATGGTAAATATAACATATCAAACACACATATGAGACCATGAAAATAA